CCGAACCTGTAATCATGTCTTTATCTGCTCGAGATCCATCTTTAACTGTATTCTGACTTCTAACTTTTTCTAATTCTAATTCTTTCTCTAGCTGCGCTAATTTTAATTTTTCAAGTTCAACCTTTTGAGCTTCTAAGGCTAACTGTGTATCCCTAGCTTTTATTTCATTTTCTTCTCTAATTTTTTTTTCCTCAACTATTGAGTTTAATAATCCAATTACAAATTCTGGATCATCTTTAAATATTTTACTGTCCTCAATTTTACCTTTTAGTTGAACCACTGTTAAACCAACAGTTTGTGTATCTTCAATTTCACCAAGAAGGTTTACTAAGTCTTCTTTCTTAGTATTCTTATACATTTTAATTTATATATATCTTACACATATATATATATATATATTCAATATATCTATACTTTGAGTAAATAAAATCAAAAGCTTCCTACCTGCTTCTCTTGAAATTTCTCTACCGTCATCTAAAGCTCTGGTTCTCGAAAGAGAGCGTGTGATATCATCCCTTTCTTCATCCACCGCCTCATAGAGAAATAACTCCACCTTCTTGTATTTTAAACATTTATTTCACAAACACAAAACTAATACTAAACTACAATACTAATAACTGAAATATATAAAGTAATAAAAGTGAATTTCGGTTTCATTAATGGCTCCCATGAGCCTTCCATATGACCACTTTGTCGGTCTCCCTCTTGGAAACTAAACTTTTGGCGTCTCTCCAGACTGAGAGTTAGCGCCCTCTATACATCTTGTTGGTTGGCGTCACCCATACATCACATCCAGTATCTTGAATGATCTATAATCGAGACCTCAAAGGCCACCACCAACTTTTTTTTTTTTGTATGCTTTTACATATGCACATTTGATTTCTCTCCGCGTATGATAAAACATGTGGAGATTTCTGATTCTTAATTTCACTTTGCTAATAAATAAAATCTCTCATTATTGAAGAAACAATCATTTTAGCATAAATTTGCTAATCAATAATTTGGCTATGTATCTGCTTGGCATACATCTCAAACCAAAGCATTCTACATACATACATCGTTGATTTTACACGTACTAATATTTTGTATCCCTGATGCCAACCTGGCGAATCATTATTATATTTTGCTTTCATCACCACGTGTTTACCAACACATGACAACTTGAGTAATGACTTATATAGTGAAGCCTAAACAATTTTTTTTTTTTTTTTTTTTTTTAAAGTTAGCAATTGAATAATAAAGAGAATACACTGACTAACCAATAAGTATTTGGACACCTGTGATAGAAAAGAAAAACTAACTTTATTCAAAATCAATAGTTGGTAGAGCCTCCACAAGAGGTAATTACAGCGTTGACCCTCCGGGGCATATTTTCCACAAGTCTTTGTATGACAGCTAGTGGTATTTTCTTCCACTCGCCTTAGAGAAGACATAGAAGTTCCTTCACCGATTTTGCACGGGTAGTGCACCCCTGAATTCAGCGATGCAACTCGTCCCAGAGGTTCTCGATAGGGTTCAGGTCTGGACTCTGGGCAGGCCAGTCCATTCGATGAACTCCATTGGCACAATACCAAGCCTTGGTTAGCGTCGAAACGTGACAACTGGCATTGTCATCCTGAAAGTAACAGAGGTCCAACCCGTAAAACTGCCACAACGCAGGAAGCACATTGTCATCCAAAATAGTGCAGTAGGCATCGGAGTTGAGCTTACCATGAATGGGGACCAAGGGTCCCAGCCCATACCAGAAGAAACACCCCCAGACCATAATTCCACCTCTGCCAAACTTGACTGTTAGCATGATGCATTCTGGCAGGAGACGTTCTCCAGGTAGACGCCAGACCCAGACCCTGCCATCCGAATGGTAAGGGTGAACCTTGATTCTTCACTCCAAAGAACCCGTTTCCACTGATCTACGGTCCAATTTCGATGTGCTTTGCACCCCATTAACCGAGCAGCGCGGTTGGACTTTGTGATCAAAGGCTTACGGGCAGCAGCACGACCATGAAAACCAAGCAGATGTGCTTCCTTACGGATGGTATTCATTGAAACAATACTCCCGGATGACCGTTGAAACTCCTCGCAGATGAGGGCCATCGGTTGGGTGCGGTTCTTCCGAATTTCTCTGGACAGCACTCGTCGGTCTCTATCTCCCAGTTTCGTTGGTCTCCCGACTCGGGGCACATTCTGACAATCACCGCTCACCTTCCACTTCTTAATCACGTAGGCCACTGTTGATTTTGGGTACTTCAGATCGCTAGATATGTCCCTTAAGAATCGGCCACATTTGTGATACCCGATAATTATACCTTTCTCGAAATCGGAGAGCTCCGAACTGCAAGGCATCTTGCATGCGACTAAAGCCGATGCCGTTTCCTACACGATATATAGCAGCGGAGTCCGTGACGTACCTTAGGACCTCAGATATCGTCATTTGCATAAGTGTTCAAATACTTATTGGTAGTCAGTGTAGTAACCTTTTATGTTGATATTACGCTTGGCAATGATTACAGATTTTAGTTAAATGCGCTAAGAAATGTTGACGAAATATTTAACAAAAATTTCTTTCCAAATGCTAAAAGTAGATTTTGTTAATGATATTCATAGGCCAAAAGATTACATTTAGCGATATTTGAATTAAGAATAACTGATTTGTTGTTCGCATAAACCCAGAACCCAGCACCAGGTCTCGCATGGCCTCACCAGGCAGCAGAATTTAGGGAAGACAAAGGGAGGCACTTAATAGCAGAATTTTGGATCCACAGAGACTGCACCAGGTGGTAAGATATCTAGCGACGACCCTCAATAAGCCTTAAGTATATATGAGAGTTTATTTATTTAGGACTCAGATAAGCCTTAAGCATGTGCAAGAAATAGACATAAGTATAACAAATAACTAATACAATTAAGGCTTAATTGTCTCAGTTCACGATAGAAGCAAGATGAAATTTAGCGGAACAATTTGTCGTTAATCGCCAATCTCATAATACATAGCCAAAATATGTATGGTGAATGATAGCTAAATTTTATGATGATAGTCATGAATTTTAAAGGTTTTCGGATATCGCAAACCAAAGGTCAAATTTTCCAATTAATATATTCTGTAAAGAAATGTGGAGAAACGGTAATAAATGAAGATGATATAAAAGTTTTTTTGTGATAACAATGCTCCTCAATTATCAATCAATGAATGGTTGGCGAAATCTGTAGTATTGTTCTAGATCCAGAAAATAACCGCTACCAATAGTGAAGAAAGTGACACAAAGGTCACTGATAACGAAAACATTTCGATTGGCAAGTTAGTCTGAATTCTCGACCCAGCAATTACATTACTTCAACAATGTTACTGAACAAGAAATTATATCTATCTACAGAATTAAAGAGAATGTATTGGCACAAAAAACGAAGCAACTTGGACAATTTACGTAGAAAGATATGTTTACTAAAGTAAAAAAATAAATATTAAGCTTTTTTCTTTTCATAAATTTTGATAGCTTTTAAATTATAAATGCATCATTATTTCATAAATCACAATTTCATATTGTTAATTTTGTAATTTTTGCATGCCATCTTACTAAATTTAAACTGGTGATCTAATATTCGGAAAAATCCCAAATCCAGAATCGTGAAACTCCCAATGAGTGAGGATCTCGGCCTTTGTACAGTATGCCTTTATGTACAACCATTTAACATGTTCTTGATCTTATGCAGCCCTTATGGGAAGATAGTTTGATGGCTCATAACAATGTCTGACAACTTGGCATTGAATGCTTTTTCAAATTAACAATATTTTAATGCAGTTTTTTTTAGATTATTCATATATATTTTTAAATTTTTTAAACTTTATAGCTTCCAAAAAAAATCAAAAAATGAGATTTTTAAGTATTGAAGCTCTTAACTGTCATAATCTTTATTATTGCCATCAGCTGAATTTTTTTTTTCCGGTTATAGAAGAAAATCCATTTAAATTCCTTTTAATAATAGTAATGAATATGTTTTCACTTTTTAATCTTTAGTGCAGAGTATGATTTTTCTTATCAGAAAAATTCATTTCCATTGTTTTTGAAGATTTAGCATTTATGTTGAAATATTATGTTAACAAAAAAAATGCTCTTCCTACAATTGCAACAGTACATATACTGCAATGTTATAAGTTTGCTTGCTCATCTGAAGAATATGATATAAGCGATTATAAAATTAAAAAAAAAATTGTAGTTTTTGTTTTATCTGTTGTGTGGTCCATTTAAACAACAAATTATTATTATTAATAGTTAAGACTAAGCAGTGCAATAACAGTTACTAAATAGCAGTAACTTTTAATCGTATGACTTGATAACTGTGAATGATTTAAAAAATCTTCCTAATAATTTTGAACAGCTTCTAGAACTAGCAATTTAATTTTCATAAACTTGTATTCTTGTTTTAATAACCTTTAATATTTAACCCTTAATGCTCAATATTTATTATTATAATGTACGATGATTGAATTAAATTAGAGTTAAATATATCAACAAATCAAATTAAAGAAGAAAAATCTCAGAATTAATTTTGGATATTCCGTCTACCATACAGATAACACAGTTAACAAATTTGCAAAAGTTAGGACTGCCAGCCATTTAGCAACAGTTTGCAACAATCATTGGCATTTTATTCTGGGGCCTTAAACTTGTGCATGTAACAAATTTACATTCTAAAAATCATTCTCTGTCTCTCACTCTCTCTTTCTCTCTCTCTCTATATATATGTATATGAGATAGGAGAGCACAGATAATGTCTTTTTCGATTTCTGTAGCATTAATACGTCTCTGTAACACAGCCTTTCAAGCATTAAGGGTTAATTCAGTAAAAATAAATGTCATTTGCATATTTTCTGTTTGTTATTAAAATGCATTTTTTAGAAACCTTAGTTTATTATAATAGTGCATTTATTACCTTCACTATGAAGTATAAAAGTATTAGACTTTTATCTGCATTTGATAAATATTTTGTTGTTTTTATTTCAGAAAGACGAGTTGCCAAATCCACCTGCATATATTTTTATGATTGAAGTTTCAAATGCTACATTTCGAAATGGATTGGTGCCTTTATTTTGTGAGAATTTAAAAAACATTTTGCAGTGCTTACAAAAGTATGTTTCTTACAGTATTCTATATTACAGTACTTAGTGCAATATTCTTTACTTGATAGACAAATATATAATAGCTGGAAACAATGTTATTTTGTTAATATATAGTTTGCTACTTTTTTTAAAATTTATAACTGTTATTATTTGTGTGATCATAGAATTTCTGTATTTTAAACATAGTGGTATAAACATTTTCATATTGTATATTTTATTACTGATATCGGAGAGAAAAAAATTATTATATTTTTAATACTTGAAACCTTTGGCTCTGTTGATCTTCAAATTTTATTATATATTTACCAGATTTTATAGTTATTAGGTAAAATGTTCCTTCTCAAGGCCCATAACTTTTAGATATTTTTTAAATGACAGTTCACAAAAAATGGCATCCTGAAACCCTTCAGTTACCTCTTTAAGCTGAGCAATATTGCATGGTGCATTATCATGTTAGTAATACTAAGGACCTTTCCCGAAGTACTGTTTTAGTGTTAGAAATGTGTATTTCAGAGTTCATAACATTTTTAAGAGTCCTTAGATTTGTGGAAATGAATTTTTATATCTTAAAGACCTTAATTTTAGCCAGAATTGGAAAAATTTCTTTAATTTACTCATCTAATCTTTGTTTTTTTATGATTTGTATTTTGAGTGGGAATTGATATTTTGGAGGACTATCATTTAGCAGTTCATTGACAGTTATATATTTGAAGGGTTATTGTGTGAATTCGTTCCTACTTCTGATATAAAAGGTGAGTTTTCGAGCACAAGGCCCTACCTCAATTGAAACGTACCCATTTAAAAATCATTTCGTTTTTGCCAATAAGAATTCATAATCAAAAACAATTTTTTTGTTTTTGAAATGTGAATTCTTTTATTATGCAGCACTAAATTAGATGACTTACTAACATTCTGAGTATTTTAAGATGAATTACTGTACAAAATTTTTTATTTAGAGATTTGCAAATTTTTCAGCATTTTTTATTTATTTATTTATTTATTTATTTATTTTGTAAGCAAGCAAATTAACATTGGTAAGTATCATTAGATAATGACAATATATTAGAAATCTATTTAAGAAACAACGTGCTGCCTTCATCCTGGGAGAATGTTGATGTCGTGCAATGGCTTTTCCTACGGCATCCAAAATATGTTGTCTAGAACTTAGGTACCACAACTTCAGACTGTATTATGCAATGAATAATGACCACTTTTTCCATTGAAAACCATCATTAAATTGAGCTCTGCATGACTTCATTATAGTCCTTAAAAACAAAATCCTATTCAACAAAATTCTGGTAAAACCTAGCATGAGGTTCAAGAATCTACTCCCGTCACTTTATATCTCAGGACCTAAGTGATGTGTGGCCATCAAGCATGATGCCTTCCCTCATAAGCATCCCTCTTCCACCAAAGTGATTAGTTTGCCTTATATTGGTGAGACGTTAACAAGTCTCAGATGAAGACTCATCAAGAATCACTCTTTGTATTGAATCTTTATTCATTATTGAAGAGGATATGGCCCCAGTCTTGCTGTGTCAGAAAACAGTGTACCTAGATCTATAAAAGACAGGCTTTATTCTTCGATCTGCTGTGGAGGGTACAAATCACTAGCCGCAGGATGGAATTCGGGAGAGAGCTGCAACTAGATTTTCCAAAAGCCAGAAGTCCATCTTTACATCTTTTTAAAGTAGTGAAACAGGCTGAAAATGGAAAGAAGCGTCTGATAACTTTGTAAAAAGAAACAAAATAATTGCTTTCTTGTAAGCGTTTAGTAGTTTTAATTTGCCATACTTCATGCATATGTTTTAGCTGCATAAGAGCCACACCACTTCCTTGTGAGAGCTGCGTGTGACTCCCGAGCTGTTCTATGGCCATCGTTGCTCCCAAGCTGTTCTATGTTGTATGGCAATTGATTTTAAGGAGACCTTAATATTTTGTTCATTCACTGTTTGAATTAATTGAAACATTGTTGAAGTATTTACTTAGTATTAAAATTCTGTATCATAAAGTATGATGTAGTTTAATTATTCATTATCTTTCTGTTATTAAAATCCTAATTATAATCATTTACTATTTTTAGTGATAAAAAGAATGATACATCGAAACTGAGAGTTGGATTTGTAACATACAATAATGTATTACATTTTTACAATCTAAAAGTATGTATTGCAATTTTTAACCTTTTTCTATAAATATGTTTAAATAATGCTCTTTGAAAATTTCTTTTAAAATGTTATTAACTTATCTTTCATCAGAATATGCTTGCATTTTATTCTCGATTTATTTCAATTATAATTAAATTTTGAGTATTTCTCAAATTTTTTATTTGATTGCTGTTTTAAAAGTTTTATATCGTAAAATAAAGCACAAATGTAAGATAGTATATGCAGAATTTTCTGAGATGTTATGCAGTATTATTCTTCAGTTAGTTTTAGTAAATTGGAGTCTTGAATTAATTTGTTATTTATGTGTGTAATGTTTTTAGACATTTGAATATATTTTACTGTCTGTTAATGCCACTCATATATCCAGTTTGAATTCTAATTTAACTGTAATGTTAATGTATAGATCCTAACAAGGTAAGAGTGACTAGAATGTCTTCAGATCCTATTAAATTGCCAAGTGAGTTACCACCTCATCTGTGTAAATGTGATAAAATCCCATGAAGGTCTTAGATAAACATTTTTATTAAACTTGAATTTAACAGAATTTAACATAACTCATGCATACAAACAAATTCTGCCTTTCACAGAAATTAAAAATACAATCTAAAATAGATTCATAGCCTGAGACTACACTGTTTGGCCTAGTTGGCTCAAACTTCAAATTCGAGAATTAACTAGCAAATGGCTAATGCTGAAATGTTAATTGGCAGAGCTGGGTGATAGAAAAGCTGTAAGTGTCACTGCCAAAAGCTGTATATCTAACCATTCAAAACCCTTGTCTTAACCCCCTAACTGCCACAAGCGTATATATACGCCTTGCTCAGCCGATGTGTTAATATACACCCTTCCAAAATATTATCATTTGCTTTGCGCTGCTACCCGTAAAATTATTCGCTTTGGAATGCAACACCACAATGATCTTTGCAAAGTATGCAAAGGAGGCTACTATTTCAGAGAAGTGTGGGGAGAAATTGGAGAGATGGATGTGTCTAAAGTCGTGAAAGTAATGACTGCGCTGTATTGACTGGTGTTGTTTGAGTAAAACTTTTTTTTTATTATTATTCTGTGTCCTCCAATTTCGTTTACTTTTTGTAGTAGGTTCCAGGAATGAAGAAAGATACAATGGAAGTTTCAAAGCCGTTTATCTTTTTCGAATTATTTTTGATGAACTGCTCGTGCTTCATATTGTTACTGAAACTAACCGTTTTGTAGACGAGTATATGAACCAACACCTTACAAACGAAATATCAAGAACAAAATCGTGGCATTCAACCAGTTCAGAAGATATACAGTCAGAAGTCGTTAATCCGGACTCGTCGGGACTTCGGCGATTCCGGATTATAGATCATTAGTTTAAATCTGGTAAGATGGCATGCAGAAATTATAAATTAAAAATATGAAACATAATTAATGAAAAAAGAACAATTATGATATAAAGGGTATCAATTTACAAAAAAGCTTAATATTTATTTGTTTACTTTATTAATAAACATTTCTTCAATGTAAGTTGTTTAAGTTGCTTCGTTTTTTATGTGATAATACTTTCTCTTAATTCTATAAATTTCAACATAATTTCTTGTTCAGTTACAAAGTTCTGCTGTTCAAGTCCTATAATTGCTTGTCGAGAATACCGACTAATTTGTCAATCGAATTTTTTTCGTTTTCAATAATCTGTGTATTTTTCTTCGCTAGGAAGTGAATTATAATGACGAGGAATTGATTTAAATCATATCAACGACGAGTAACATCGAGATAAAATACTACATTAGTAAGGAATTATAGCCAAATAAAAAAAACATCTGCCCTGAAGATAAGGATAGTGCTGACAGACAACTTCAATTCATGGCGTGCCGAGTGTCCCCCCATCCCCCGCCGCAAGCAGCGTAATTGATAAACAGATTTCGTAATGGTTAATAAACACAGGATATGCCTTTATCGTTTTTGCAGCAATTCCCTGTTGTTAATGGACTTCGACATACTTTCGCTTTGTAGATCTTTTACATTTAGTAAATATATATCAGAATTCTATTGCATAATCGAAAGAATCAAGCTTCTTTTATAAAATTCTCTAACATCTGCAAAAATAAAAGCTGGATCCAATTTAAAGATTAAGGAACAACGCAATCTGTAACATTAACTGAATTAGATAATTTTTACCTTATACCATCCGTTATACATTAAACACGCATTCATAAACGTATTTTGCACATGTGCAGACCTATATTCGCAGACGTTAAGGTCTTACGCGCATGCGCAGAAAATTTGTAGCTTTGAGGCCCGGATTATAGATCATTTCGGATTATGGGTGTCCGAATTAACGACTTTTGACTGTATATATATTTTTTTAGGCATACTGATTTCACAGGGTATAACACTGAAACCTGATACTATTACACTTTACTGGTCCAAAAATGAATTGATGAAAACTCCATTTTAGGGATCTTTTTTATTATAAAAACATCATTTTTATTATACTTTTACTCAAAACATTAAATTTTGTGCATTCATTTTTTCTTTTATTCTTTTTTTGTGAAAGTAAACAGTTTTTAGAAAGTAAAACTTTCACTTATTTTCCCCCTAATAATCGCATAACTACGAACCGTGGCACTGGGAAATGAATCTTGTATGTTTTCCGCAGCAGTTAAGGGGTTAAATAGAAGGAAATCAAATTTTCATCCTGTAAAGAGTGAACAAAGAGAGAAGTTATAATATTATATATAATAAAAGTGGGTTAAGTAACATAAAATACCTTATAACTGATTTATTTGAATGGCAAGCGAGCTTATTGTCTAGTGTCGCACTCAACTTGAATATATCTTTTTACTGCTTTATGTGTTACAAATTTATAACTACACTTGGATTCTATGCAGCTTTTCTGTTCATAATGAGCTTAGGAAATATCGTTATGCTATGTTAGCAGTATTGATTCCTTTATCTGATCTGCAGAAAGAGGGGAAAATGAACGCTTAAAAGACTAATGTGTAATTTAGCTGACAGTCTACTTGTTAATTTTAAGTGAAATAAATTTCTACAAAATTACCGATAAGAGAATTTCTTCAAGAATGCTGGTATGCAAGTCATTTTTGCTTGTTAGTGTATGAAGAACGTTTTAAAGGGGCCCTATCAGTGACATTAGGGATGGTAAGGCTATTTAGAGAATACAGGCTGATCTTCCATAGGAAGTGTCCTGAAAACTCTTTATAGTACCAAACATCATATGAAGGCTTTAGAGACTGTTTCAGACTGGCAAAGAATTTGAAGACGAAATGCTTGTTGACACCCCACTTGTCCTAACTACTTAACAGGATGGATATATGGTCATATCCAACATCAGCCAGATATTTCAATAAATACACTAGAAAACTGTTAACAACCTCAAGGATCACCATATCCAGGCAAACAGTTTACTGACTGATGTTCAAGTTAGAGTTGACCAAGAACTTTAGAATCTAGTGTACTAAACATCTTGTTTGAATCCTACAGCAATTTGTTTAGTTTGCTGAGGAAACAAAATTTGCCTCTCAGAGTGAATCTTAATATTGTCCATATTCTTAAAAGGGATTATCCTAATGGTAGGGAAGTCCTTTTTGAGGGTGGTATTGACTCAGGATTACTAACATCTTTGCTTGCATATGACAGTCGTACTGTAATTGCTGAGCTTTAAAGAGTTGCCCTCATGCATCAGTATATGGAACATTCTGAAGACACATTTTGTCCTTGCTTTTGCATAACCCTTTAACTACTAACACAGGGTTCGTACGGTCCGTAAGAGTCCTTAGATTTTTTGGAATCAACTTTTGGTCTTTAAAAGTCTTTAATTTTGGCCAAAATCAGCAGAAGGTCCTTAATTTTAATCATCTGAAATTTCTGTGTGTTTTTATGACTGCCATTTTGAGTGTGAATTAGCATTTTGGAGGAATATTTTTGTGGTGATTCACTGACATATATGTATCTTTTGATGTTTGATGGGTTATAATTTGTTTCTATTTCTAATATGAAGTGGGATACTCGAGTTTCTGAGCAAGAAGTTAAATATAACATTTCAAAATTCATTTTTCTTCACGACTTTTTTTTAAAGCATCATAACATTGATATTCATTAACGTAATGGTAATATATTGAAATTATATATAAAAAAATAATATTAAAAAAACATTTTTATTTTTCGCTGTATATTATAAAGTTTCATTTTGGCAACTTCTATAATATTTGAATCTGAGAAATAAAAAAAGGTGTAATGCTATAAGCACATTTATGAAACCTCTTAGCAAAGCAAAATTAGCTATGTAATTAATTAAAAATGTCTTCTTTTAATTTTTTAGTAAGAGTTTTTCTTATGTAATTGTCTCAGAATATTCAAAATTCTCAGAATATGCATGAATTTTCTCTATAAAATTAATTTTACACATTTTTCTCCCCCCCCCCTCCTTTTTTTCCAAAATATTTCTGGCTTTTTGCTGTTACAGAATTGGTATAGATAATTTTTCTTTAGTATTTTAGACATTGCATCTTGGAAAGTATAGATTAGTAGAATAGTATAGATATGGTAGGAAGAATTTGAAGGCAAGATTTATAGACCCACGATTCTAGAAGATTCGAGAAATATGTGACAAAATAAAAATGTTTACTGGTATCTGGTTATATATTAACTGTAACTGTATCTTATTTTCTTTACCATAACTGTAATATAGAATATAGATGAGTAATGTAGAATAAACGATGTTTGTGTACATCTTTAATCATCATGAGCATGTACCCAACACATATAATACAACACATGGCGCAGCCCTTCGTTATTAAAAAAGAATCTTTTTGAAGAACCATGCAGCCTCTGTAAAGATGTTCTAAACAAAAACATCATGGGAGTTGTTTACTGTGAAATCGAAACTATATCGCTCTGGTAGGTAGTTTGTTTATTTTTATTGGAAGTGGCTAAAAATACGTATATATAACTAGTTAAGTCCTAATAAATATGTTGGATAAAGCCACCAAGTA